GTTTTGGCTCAAAATGTTGAGTTCCCCTGGGGGCAAAGTGGATACCACCTGCCCGCGGCTTGTTCCAACGAGTTACACCCCTGTCGGGGACTCTGTGATGTCCTGGCCCACGCCTTCCTGGTGGCCTGGTTGCTCGCCGCTTTCCTCCGGCAGGGGCAATGGCGCCTGGGCTGCGAGACGGGGCGAAGCCAGACTGGTACAGTCATCGGCCTGACCTGAGGAACGATAAATAAAGAACGAAGCCCCTCTTGAAAAGCAAGTAGTGCAAGTACGATCGAGGTCCACAGCTGGGCATGCCGTGCATCACGATCGGATCCAAGAAGGTGTTGCCACTTCTGACAGGTTCGAGTGCTTCCTGGGTCACGTCCAAGGTAGAATTAGGGGGGCACATGCGAACCCTACCCCTACCCCCCCACTATTTCTGAGGGGGAGGGTGGGGTTCACACGCGGCCCCCTAGAGGGAACCCCACACTCCCCCTCAGAAATCGTGGGGGGGGTAGGGGTAGGGTTCGCAAGTGCCCCCCTGGAGGGAGTGCGCCGGCGTCAGCCAACCAACATGGTGCCTGCCCCTGGGCCACGAAGCACAGGTGGCTGGCCAGAGACTGCCGGGAAGCACACGGGCATGCAGAACGAGTTGGCTCGCCTTCGTGAGGTCAAGGTTCTGCGCGCGCCTACTACCGCGAAAGGAGGCCCTCTCGCTGCAGCTGCAGCGGTGGCAGCGGAGGGGGATGACGACGGTGATGAGGAGCAGCTGGAGTTTCTAGAAGAGCAGCTTCGAGGTCTCAAGTCCATCAAGTGCCTAAAGGCCTACATACAGTGGCTGTACCAATCACACTGAGGAGCAGAAGCGCCAGTTGGTCGACGCGACCAGGTCGAAGAAGCCTCCTGCTGCAGAACCTCAAATCCAAGCAAGAAACCATCGCGAATCAGGAGCTCGCGGTGGCGAAGGCTACGGAGGCGGCGGCCACGGCTGAGGAGAAGCTGGAGGAGCAGCAGAAGCGGGTCGCGGCGCTGCGGGTCAAGGCTACGGAGCTGGAGCAGAAGATGCGGGGGATCAATGATGTGGCCCGAAGCTTTCTGAGGCGATGGGGGGGGGCGTCTGCGCGCACGACCTTGACCTCTGTCTGGGCCCTGGGCGAGCTGCTCGCGGAGCTGGGTGCCACGGGGGAGATCGCCGAGAGAATCGTGCCCCACCCGGCGCTGGCGGAGCGGGTGCTGCGCAGGCCTCCTGCGGCCCGTCCCCGTCCTGGTGCTGCGCCTGGCGAAGACGGCGCAGGGGGCAACGAGGGGCGCCTGCCTAGGCGCCAGGAGGTTCAAGGGGGCGGCGGACGGTGCGCCGATCGAGGTGCCGCGGGCCAGCTCGGAGAAGGCAGGGGCCGAGGTGCCTCCCGACGATGCTCAGGTTCGCAGCGCAGGACCAGTGCAAGATCGCACTCCTCAGGCGCAGCCTCCGAAAGCTGCAGCTCGAGGGAACTGGGACCAGTCTTTCCCGTCCCAGGCCCACCCATCACCACCCCCCGCTCCACCCCAGAGGAGGAGGCAGCAGCAGCAGCGGGGGCAGAGATGACTGACTGAGACCGCACGGCCTCCAGGCCTAAGTTATGTTCGTCAAAGGCCGGCCTGTCAAAGCACTCCACAAACGAGCCAAGGTCGACAGTCACACCATTCTTACCCCTAGAATAGTGTGGGTGCTTGCCACGGCATAAATCGGTCCACCCAAGACGACCAGCACGAGAGAGGGGACGTCATTTATCGGTCAAACCTCTGAACTGGCGCACAGTCGAGTGGCACTTACACCTCATACATATGAAGAGCACAAGGTGGCCCGAACAATCGAAAGCAATCGTTCTATGGCCTAGACGGTCCTGATGATCAGCGTGTAGCTTGCTGTCACGGGGGCAGCGACCTCCAGGGGGGATGCAACTGGCGCATCTCCAAACTCCAGCCCAACGTTCCCAGCGATGGCAAGAAGTACTAGTCGCCTGAGGGGGCTGGGGGACACGCTCAACATGAGTTATATCGATATTCGGCAATAGGTGAAGAACTGCACAAGCTGCCTTGAGGAGTGGCCTGATCGAACCGAACCTGCTCGTCAGCGTCTTGAAGTACCCCCGCACCAGCAGGGTGAATCATGAGAGCATGTTTAGCGCCCACATCAGCAAAGTTATTGCCAAGTCGACGCCATTTCTCGGCAGCGTCGATCGAAGCATCATCGATGTCGTTATGGGCGTCAACTTTGGTACACCCCGAGACATCCGAAAACTGCCCATGGCACTGCAGGAACGCTCCCAAATGCATCTTCTTGTGCGAGAGCTGCTTGGGCTTCGATCTGCCAGCCAATTCTACCACGCTGGAGCAGTCCGAATAAACATGGCAATCGGCAGGGCTCGTCGCCGAAACAGTGGCCCACGTGTGGGCACTGAACTCGGCGCTCTGAGGGGGCTCGGGGGTAAGGGGGCCCCAGACGGGGAGCTCGAAGCTCAGCCACCGTGCAGACCCGAGCTGGCAGCCCTGGAGAGCCCCCGAACAGGGTGGCGGGCACGCGAGCAGTCCACGAAGAGCGAGCCCCACAATCTAGTCGTGATGGGCCCTCCGTCAGGAGCCGAGTCAGGTTGAACGTGCCACTTAAGGACAGGACCATCATCGGCCTCAGTGAGGGACCTCGGGTAGGTGTCGGCGGGGTGCCGAAAGGCTCCAGCTACAACAACAAAGTAGGCATCGAGGTCGCCCGACGCCTTAGCAGCCAGAGCAGCATCTAGGATCTATTTGCTCACAGCTTCTGAAATCAGGAGGAGGACCAGGAGGAGGAGGAGTTCCACGACCCTGGTGCGTCTCCCCAGGGAAGGGGGATGTTGCAGGCTGATTGCGCTGGTCAACTCGTTTCTTCGCCTTTGGGCTAAAGCGAGGTCCACTGGCGCGTAGCTGGCCGGCGTAAGTGGATGCCCCCCTCTTGCGGGGGACAGGTGGCGTCGTTCCACCGCGACCTGATGGCAGAGGTCGAGAGGCTCAACGTAGGCCACGGTGCCACGGTGCTCCTGGATGCCTGCAAGGCGTTCGACAGCCTCATCGCGAAGCAGCTTCTGGTGGAGGCGAAGGCGATGGGCCTTCCAGTCAGGATCATGTGGGCGAGCCTCAAGTACCACCACTTACCCAGGAGGCTGAAGGCGTCGGCTCGCTCTCGCGGAGCTGCGCGGCGCACCGGGGCATCCTCGCGGGCTGCGCAGATCCTGTGGCTGCGTTGGTGGCGAGCACTGCGAGGGCGCTCAGGAGCCTGGCTTGCTATGACGTGATCCCGAGGAACCTCGCGGACGACGCGTCGGTGCTGTAGGTCGGCCAGGACTTTCGAAGAGCTCGAGCGTTGCGGGAAGCCGCCATTAGTTACGAGCACGACGCGGAGGACGTAGACCCGAAGATGCAGGAGCTGTAGTCCGGCTACCTGGCGTCCTCGAGGCAGAGCCAGGCAGCAGCGGAGCCCTTCGCAACGCGGTTCAAGACTGGAGGCCGCACGCGCGCGAGGCACCTCGGCCACGACCTCGACGGCACGAAGGCGAGAAGGGCTGTGGCCAGGGGCAGGCTCGGCAAGCTGAGGCGCCGCATGAGTCGGGAGCGGCCAAGAGGGGGGTGTCCAAGAGGGAGGGGTGCAAATCATGGCCGGCGGCATGTGCGCGGCACAGCGGGGGGGCCGGGACCGCATTGAATTACGAAGAGGCGCCATGAAATCTGGGGAAATATCATGCCCCCCGCCATGATATCCCCCCCCCTAGTCATCACCCCCCTCTTTTCCGCCCCCGAAAGAGACGGGCGACGAGGCTGAAGCGCGCGGCTGGCGCCGGGGTGGGCCGCCCATGGCAGACAGGCCTGCTTCCTGCCACGGCGCGCGTCTCTGCAGTTTGCGGGGGGCGTCGCCCTCTGAGCTGGCGGCGATGCGCTCGGAGGCGGCCGGGCTTGGAGGTGCGAGAGGGCGCAGCATCAGCATCGCTTTCCATTTGGCCAACCAGGCCAATCCGTACTACGACCCGGTCTTCGCGGCGACCGTCGAGCCGCTGACGCAGCGTGCGCGAGCCGTCCGGGAGCGCCAGATGCGCCTGGGCGAGCATGAGCGGGCGCGGCGGCAGATGTTGCGCAAGGTCGAGGAGGGCGAGAACAAGCTGACCCGGGCGTCGGCTCGGGGGACCCTTGAAGGTGGTGGCCCTCTCACTCAAGCGGGTTGGCTTGGCGATGAACTCTTCGACCCCCTGGGCGCCCGATGAGGGGCCCGTTAGTCTCGCCGCTGGCCACGCCGCGCAAGTTTTTTCGTGACCTCCTCTGACAAGGGGCCTAGTGGCAGCAGATGCGACGCGCTGCTGGTCACTTTTTTGAGCCGCCCGGTCGGCCGCTCTGGGCCCGCGGGCTTCGCGCCAGCGCGCGCGCGCGGGGCGCGGGGGGTGCATGGGCGGCTTCGGTGACTGGGGCGAGGGGGGGGTGGGGGCGGGTGCCCCGCGCAGCCGTTGGTCGGATTCGCTGTGGCCGAAAGGCAGATGATCAGAGCTGCCGAGCATTGCCTTGGTGCGGCGTCCTGCCCTCGCCGAGCGACTGTAGGAGGAGGACTGTGGCCTTGACCCCGAGCTGGCCGCAGCTCGCGACGCGATGTTGATGCATGGGCCGATCGGGGATGGTCGCCAGGATGTTGATTCGTGTGCGCTGACCTCCGTATGTGCGGTACGTCGGGAACAGTTGGGCGGATCACTTCGCTTAGCTAGGGGCCCTGCCTGCGAGGCTTCCAGAATGGCACGCCAGGTTCTTTGAAGATATCCCCACTGGGGCCCGACAATTTGCTAAGTACCAAGCTTGGGCTGTCTAGCGGAATTGCAAGTTGGAGTTAGTCTGGCGTCGCATGGGCATGATCTTGCTGAGTCGCCTGGGAGAGTTATGTGCCGCAGGTGTCGCAGAGCTGCGTGCACTGCCGAGTCGACAGGGCAGCTTGTGGTGGGACGGACAGGCTGTGCCGTCCTTCGGTGATCTCTGAACTGCAGGCTCAGACTCTCGAGGCTGACGCCGACCCCCCCGACGAGGCCCCCCGAAGGCTCGGAGCGAGGGGCACGGTGGGGACTCTGTGGGTACCTCGTTGGGCGAGGAGGAGGAGGATGATGAGGAGGAGGAGGAGGAGGAGGAGGAGGAAGAGGAGGGAGGAGGAGGGAGGAGGGGGGAGGAGGGCTGCGGCGGTTGCTCGGCCGGGGCCCGGGGGGAGGGGCGCGCGCCTGCCCCCCAGGGCAAGGCGGCGGCACCCTGCTCTGCGGCGGGGGTGTCAGGGCCGGCGCCCGCTGGGCCTGCAGGCGAAGGCTCTGGCCCTGCCCGCGAGGGAAAGCGCGGGCTCGGGGCTCCCGCGTGGGGGTCCTCTGGCCCGCGGGGGGCCTGCCGCGAGGCCGTCTTCCAAGGCTGTGGCGCCCGAGGGCCACGACGTTTCCTCCCAAGGGTGCGGGCGCCTGGCGCCGGCAGCGCGGGGCCGGGCTGCGGGTGCGTCAGGGTGGGCGGGGCCTTTCTGGCCCCCCGGCCTGTCCCTCTGGAGCTGCCTCCCCCTCGGAGACAGGTCCTGGCCCGGTGGGAAGCTGGCCGCCATCCCAGGACTCGGAAGCCACGCTCGACGAGGACCGTCTTGCAGGCAGAGTATCCTGCTGATTTCCTGGCTTCCTCCCCAAAGGATCTCTGGTAGAGCTGTGTCTGACAGCAGACGCAGACTTCCGACTGCATTTCCTGCAGTTTCTCCTCATCCTCCTCCTCTTCCTCGTCCTCGCCCTCGCCCTCGTCCTCCTTCTCCCGTTTCCTTGTAAATAACTTCTCCCTGTCGCACCCCGAGGCCAGTTGTTAGGGCGGTCCGGGCGTTTCGCATGAGACTTCCTAACCATGTATGACCCTGAAGCTTTAAACATGACAACAGTTTCACTGATTGAGGGCGGGTGGTTTTCAAAATGTGGCTCTCGCCATAGCGCCGCGCACATTCGTTCCAAACATTTGCGAGAGATTGACGGGCTGAGGGCTGGTCGTTTTCAAAATGTGGCTCTCGCATTAGCGCCACGCACATTCGATCTAAACATTTGCAAGTGTTTCACGGGTTGAGGGCGGGTGGTTTTGAACATGTCGCTCTCGCCTTAGCGCAACGCACATCCGGTTTAAAAGTTACAGGAGTTTCGCGGATTGAGGGCAGTTCCTTTTCAACATGTGGCTCTCGCCTCAGCGCCGCGCATTTTCCTTTTGAACTTTTGTAAGAGCTTCACGGATTCCCATGAACAGCATACCAAAAATTGCATTTGTTTGTAAGAATTCAGGATGATGAGGGTGAATCAATAGGTTGATTCGCTGTGCTGAAGTCTCAAGAATTTCTGGCACGACTGAAGATCGCCAAGACGCAACAGCCAAGTTGCTCCGTGACGTTGGGATCTCGAGAACATTGTTTTGGCATCCTCCAGGGTCTTCAAACGATTGTCTTCCAACGAGGCAGTTCCCTCAGTGGACATGAGCCGTTGTAGGGACTTGTGGAGAGGAAGCTTGGAGGGAGGGTTGATTCCAACATCGTTGAGGGCGCTTGGATTTCCACTGGTCCTCCTCCTCCTCCTCCTCCTCCTCCTCCTCCCTCTCCAGAAGCGACCTCCGCTCTGGAGAGCCGGTCCTGCAGCGACTCGTTGAAGGCTGCGGCATCCCCGAGCCGGGCCTCCAGCTCCCTGGGGCAGGAGCGGAAGCAGAGAAAGGAGCAGCATCGGGAGAAGGGCGGGGAGGAGGAAGGCGAAGTGGAGGAGGGGGAGGGAGGAAGGGAGGAAGGAGGAAGGAAGGGAGGAGGAAGGAAGGAGGAGTCATAAGGACAGAGGGGGGAGGGAGGAGAAGCAGGATGGCCATACGACACCGAGCTGGGCGCCTCGGCGCGGTAGGCACCCCTCGCCCCCTGCGAAGGCGAAGCCCGACTGGGTGGTGGCTCGACGGAGCGCGTGTGCTGCCTCGCTCGAGTGAAGCACGTATCGGGCCTCGGCCCGGGGGGGGGGAGGAACAGCCCTGTCTTGGTGTTGTGCCCGCTGGCGAACCCCAAGAAAGAGCCCCTGACCTTTTGGGAAGTAACCTAAGCTAGGAGGGCCAAGAACATTAGGGGCAGCGGATCTTTTTGCTGCAGATGTATCAGACCAGGCCCCCTAGAATCATTACCACAGATGCGAAGACGGGGACCTCAGCGAGGCCACGCCTTCATCGTGTCCTCAGGGGTAGGCGCTTCCTTGTGCTCGATGACTCGTCTCCTGCCCTGAGCCGCGCAAGTGACCCTCGCGGCCACCACTCTACGCGAGGCCTGCGACCGACGAGCGGAACGCCCTGGACAGGGCAGGGGCACGGCCCTCCAGGCTTCGAGCGGGCGCCGCCGGCACGGCAGGCGACGCCGTCGGGCGACGTGAGGATACCCCGGCCGCAGATGCGGTGACCAGAGCAGCTCCGAGCGCCGGGCCCGAAAACGCAGCCGCAGCTGACGGCGCCATGCGGTGACCTTTGCAGGCCCGCCCGGGGGATGGCCGTCACGCCGCCGTGCGTGACTGCTCGCGCTGCACCGAGCTGAGCGCGCGCGCTCGTCCTTCCGCGGCCGCTGTTCTCGCCTGCTTGCGCCTGCGCCGCTCATTCATTGCCAGGCTCTCCGCGCAGGCTCTGCGCCGTGCCTGCCGCGCTGACGAAGCCAGCTCCGTCGCGCGGCTCGTGCTCTCCGGCGCCGCCCGCGGCGTCGTGGCGCCAATGTCTTACTTGCGCCCAGTGTGGGCGGGCGCCCAGGACCTCTGCCCCCTCGTTGCAGGAGAATGGGGAAGGGGGTGGGGGGGAAGGTGAGGAGGAAGCGGCGAAGAAGGGCAGTGGGTGGGCAGAGTAGGCGAGGAGTGGCAGCGGGCTTAGGGGCAGACAGTGGCAGCGGGGTCGACGCCGTGACGCCAGGGCCGTCAGGGCGCGTGCGCCGTAGGCACCTGGGCGCGGCGAGTGTGCAGTGAGGCGCGCCGGGCTGAGGCACCACTTAGTTCACAAACGAACGAACGAACAGGGTCAAGAGGAAGGAGACGGAGGAGGTACAGGGTCAAGCGGAGGGAGAGGATGAGCAGCGGCAGCGGCAGAAGCCGCGGCGGGCAGGGCGCGGGAAGAAGCGCCCAGGCGCATGGGAGACTTGGAGTAGCCATCGTATCCACCAGCACTCAGCTAAAATGTTGAGCTGACTGAGAAAGCACCGCGGGAAGCTCACTCTGAAACAGCAGCGCGAGAGTAAGGAGGGGATGGGAGGGAGAGGCGGGGGGGATGGGAGGAGAAAAGGGGGAGGAGAAGAGGGAGATGAGGAGGAAGAGGAGGAGGAGGAGGAGGAGGAGGAAACGCTCCGAGGGGGACCGCGGGTGTCCTGCCCGCCCACCTGCTGCAGGAGGGCGCAACGGGCGGCGTCCGTCTTCGCCACTGCCTTGCACCTGGCCTCCATGAGAGACAAGGTGAGTGGGGCCGAAATCCGATCGCGATCGCGCCAGGTATTAAAGGTGGACGCGAGGAGGTCGGAGGAGAGCCCAAGAGAATGCGACTGCTGACGCCTACCGAAACAGACCTTGCGGAGCAGCATTCGATGCAGAGTGGGGACTTCAGAAAACTAGGCTGGCAGGCTAGGGACAAGCTTAGTTAGGGTGCGTAAAAAGGGAAGGAGGAGGAGGAGGAGGAGGAGGAGGAGGAGGAGGAGAGGAGGAGAATGAGTAGGAGGAGCAGGAGAAGAGAGAGTGAGGGCGATGAGGAGCGAGGGGCATCGAGCAGCGAGAGGGACGTTATAGATTGTGGCCTGGCGTCGGCGTGGTGGCCATCGGCCAGTTCCCGCAGTTCTCTCAGCTCCTCCGAGAGGGCCGCGTCTCTGTCCTCTCTCCGCCGCAGCTCCTCGCGAGACGGATCGGTCGTCGGTCGTCGGTCGTCTGCCTCTGTCACCGCTGATGGGGGGTGGGGCTGGCCCTGGGGGGAACGCATCGAGCTGGAACCGGCGTCACATCGTCGACGGATCGGCGATAGGCTCTCGATGGCGAAGCCGCACGCTCCCGCGCGCGGCGGAGTCATCGGGCCCTTATCGGTACGACCGAAATGGGTACTCCAGATTTCGTAATAAAAGGGAGGGGGTCTCAACCCTCCCAGACGAGAAGTTTTAGACCCCGCCCGTGGGAGAACCCTCCAAAACATCGTCCCCAGACCCCCCCAGGCCCTCCAAGATAGCCTGGAAGAGACCCCCCCCCGAAATGAGACCACCCTCCCTTTATTACGAAATCTGGAGTACGTATCAACAACTCCTGCCGGCATTGTCACGGACATTGTCTATTTGAGACAACAGGGTCGCCTGCCCAACAGGGATCGCTGTCGGCTTGAGCAGCATTTGCCGTTGGCCATCGCACACCGTTGTTCGTACCCATTTAGGGCGTGCTGAAGGAAGGGGTAAGAGATAATGACACTAATTTGCTGGCCCGCACATCATGGATCTTCAGAGGCGCCCAAACTAGCCCTTCAAGGTGGCAAGCGGGAGCCTCAATTCGGGGGTCCCGTCACGCACTTCGTGCCACATGGCCCCAAGAAGCCCTCGGCTGGCCACCCAAAACGGTTCCTGGGAGCATCACTTCGGCACACTCCTCACGCACTTCGCGCTACATGGACCCCAAGAGATACCCAGCTAGCAAATATTAAGACGCCTCGAGGAGGCGTCAATTCGGCGGACCCCCTCGCGAACTTCGTGCCTCATGGATGCTCGATGGACCACTGTTAGCTCCAAAGACGGCCCGACTCCCCGAAGGACACCATTACCACCCCAATCGAAACATCGTAATGATTCCTACCGACCCTCGTCAAAGCCCTACCCCCATACACGCACATTCGCACGCACATTCTGACACACACAGACAAGGCACTGGTTGTGATGCGCATGTATGTGTTCGCTTCCTCTTGGAAGGCCGCCATGACTCCCGCGATGTGGGCTCAATAACATAGGCTGCCAGGGTAAGAGAGACTGGAAGGAAGGGGAGGAGGAGCAGGAAGAGGATGAGCAACAGGAGAGTCACAAGGAGCTGAAGCATGAGGGCTGGGGAGCAGCAATAACATAATGTTTTGATGAACCGCCACAGCGGCAGGAGCCGCAGGATGAGCAGCAGGACGAGACGGAGCGGGAGGACCCAGGACGATCAGCAAGATGAGCGGCAGCGTGATGCGTTGAAGGATCGGGAGGACGGGGCAAGACAGGAGAGCTGGAGGGCGAGGAGGAAGGCAAGAAGCAGCAGTACTAACATCAGCATCAGCACGAGGAGGACGATCAGGTGCGGGGAGCAGGGGCAGCGAAGGAGCAGGCGGAGGAGAGGAGCGGCAGCTCCTCTAGCAGCGCCGCGCGCGCGTCGGCTGCGCGCTCTGCGTCCTCCTCGAGCTCGCTTTGCCTGCTCTCGAGGGACTGGTGGAGCTGCGCGCGGCTGGACAGGGAGGCCTGCGTGGCCCTCCTTGTCCTCTCATCATGGTCGCCCTCTTCCCCCTCCTCCTCCTGCTCCTCGTCCTCCTCCTTCCATCTCTTCCCCCCTGCCTCCTCCTCCACCTCCTCCACCTCCTCCACCACCTCCTCCTCCTCCTCCTTCTCCTTTCCTCATTATATTCGACACCAGTATCACCACCATCATCATCAGCAGCATTACCAGCATCAACATCACCACCACCACCATCATCACCATCGTCATCAACATCATCCGCACCAACACCATCACTATCACAACCAACTCTGTCGTCGCCAGCATCACCATCCTTATCATCAGCCGCATCAGCATCAGTATCATCAGCATCAGCATCATCATCGTTACACTCACCATCATCATCATCATCATCATCATCATCATCATCATCATCATCAGCAGCAGCAGCAGCAGCAGCAGCATCAACATCACCACCACCATCATCACCATGGTCATCAACATCATCACCACCATCACCATCACTATCAAAACCAACATCGTCGTCGCCAGTTTCACCATCCTTATCATCAGCCGCATCAGCATCAGTATCATCAGCATCAGCAGTATCATCGTTAGCATCACCATCATCATCATCATCAGCGGCAGCATCAGCAACATCACCATCATCATCATCATCATCATCATCAGCAGCAGCATCACCATCAGCAACATCAGCATCACCATCACGACCCCCGCCATCGCGCGGCGCCTCCTCCCTAGAGCTAGTCTGAAACAAAAATCGAGATACCGGGCGTGATCGGGGGGGAGTTCGCCCCCCCGGATCACATCACGGCGGGGAGCCGCCGTGAACACCGAAACTCCCCTGTGCGCACCGCCAGGGCCTGCGAGCACGACGGCGCGCCAGAGAGCACCACATTGACCACAAGACGGCGCACGCATGAGAGCAGCGCATCGTGCTTGCGAGGTGAACAGACTGCGCGAGTGCCATCGCGCACGCCGGGGTCTTCGTGTGAGCGTGGGGGGCCGTGGGCCCGGGAGGCTTTCGGACACCCGGGCGCGGACGACAGCGACGACGACGTCCTAGGAACCCTTGAGGATCGTGACGAAATCCTCGAAGTCCTTTGGAGATCTGTGCAGATGTGGGAAGACTGGATGGGGAGGAGGAGGAGGAGGAGGAGGAGGAGGAATGCTATGGGAATGCTACGATAGCGGACCTTTGTCCTACAAATCAAACAGGTCTACCCTCCTGTGGGGTTAGTCTGAAGTGTCTGAATCAATATTCACTCCTTCTCCCGCCGCCGCATGCATGGGCGGCTCCACACGTAGCGTTTCGGCAACTCGTCTCATTCCATGTGTCTCCTGCAGGGCGGGTTTAACCTCGCCCGCGGGAGCTGGCGGCGGGGGATCGTCGGAAACAAAAAACGATCCCTGTCCGCCTAGAGGCTGGCGGGGGACGGGCGGAGGAGAAGTCCCCTGGCGCCGAACCTTCAGCACTTGAACGACCGACCCGAGACGACACAACCCTCTCAAAATCGCGCGCCGCCATCGCTTCCACGACGGCCTTGGGGGTCCCCTTTCTCCTGGGATCAATACCCATAAGAATTCTGGTGACATTATCTGCCCCTTTGGGGGTCGTACCTTCGCACCTCTTCTTCACGTGTCTGTCATCTACTGTCGCGAAGTGGCCACACTTGCTGCAGGCATACTTAAACCTCTTGTCCACATATAACATTGCATGAGTTTCGTGAAACTCAAGTGCTCCCGAAACGAACCTACAAGGAGCCTGCTGCACATTTGGGGGCTTCAATCCCTCGGGGATGGTTTTGCCTGCACACGGTGTGGCCGCGAATTTGAACAGCTTGGAACCTGGCACCGCCTGATCGCACGCCGCACACTTCCAACCCGTACCCGGCTTCTTCATTTGGTGGGCCGACTCTCGGACAGCTTCGGCCTACATGTTGCAAGGTCGCCGCTTGCCGACAGCAGCACTCTCGCCTCTGGACTGGGCCTCGGCACTCGCCGAGTCTGCTACAATGTTTTCTCGCGCGCCGTCGCACAAGACAAACAATCGCAACGATGCGATATGTCTATGAGAAGCCTATCCAGCCGGCCCAAACTCCCAAGCCAGCTCCGCCCCGTCCCGCGCCCATATCTGCAGCGGCACTGCCCGCTGCAACCTCCAGCTGCCAGTCTGTCACCAGCAACTTTGGGGATTTATCAGTGTGAGAGGGAGTCCGCTGCACTTCGACAGTTGCGGTGTCTGGCCTGAGACGCCAGGCCTCACGGGCCCTGCACCACAAATCCTCATAAGCCCATGTCGGGCTTGGGTGCTTCATCTTACAGCGCCACTTACAAGCCACCGACAAGTGATCAATTATAAACAAGAGCAATTCTGGCACCTCTTCCAGGGCCAAACAGAAGGCCTGGATCTCGGAGCGGGGAGGAGAAGGAGGAGGAGGAGGAATAGGAGGACGCCCACAACCGTGAAAGGTACGACCGCATTCATCACGCACAGAAGAAGCAAGCGACTTAGGCGGGGCCGCAGGGGAGATCCTCGTACCAAGGTTCCTCTCGCGCGCCCGCCTGGCCTCCACCCCCCGACCCAGGGCCCTAGCGGGCGAGGCCGATCAGCGCGAGGCCCCTCAGCAGGTCCGCGGCTGGAGCCTCGCGCACGCGGCCGCTGGGCCCGGCGGCCCCCGAGCTTTCGGGGGCCCATGAAGGCCATGAGACCAAGCGGTGAAAAAAGGGGGCCACTCACTCCTGACCTCTAAAAAGGGGTGCCATGCATACGCCGTCGCGTGCCCCTGTGGATTCTGGCGGGCTGGATACCGTCAAGCGCGAAACTTTTCCAAGTAAAAGGTGCGGCCCCCAGAGGCCCGGGGCCGACGCCTCAAACGCAAGTTCCCCGTTTCGTGGTGGAGTGCGCCATGGCTCCGCATGCCGTGCAACAGAGCATCGCGTCATGAAACGCGTGCCCGTCCGACTCATAAACATCACCCTTCTCAAGAGCGCACCCCAGCTGGCACCGAGCTCCAGGGTCGAGAGGGGGCGGGATCTCCTGAGGCCGCTCGCGAGCAGGGTTCCCCTGGGCCCCAGGGGGCCATCAGCCTGGCCAGGGGCCCCTGGCCCTCCAGGCGCCCCCGACTCTGGCTCCGAAGCCCTGGGAAGGGGCGCCCCAGGAACAGCATCGAGCAGGACGTAGCTTATCCATTCCAACCCGACGTGATCATTCATGCGCATCTCCCTGCACTCAGCTTGCTGGCTGGCGCAAACAATTCCGACACGGCGCACAAATTCCACATAACCTCTTATCAGGAGACACTCGTTGAAGGAGGCGCCGAATGGCTCAGCTCCCTCCTTTGCGAAGCGATCTGCCTCCGAGTTCCCAAACCCTTGCAATTCCGTGATACGACCTTTCCTCGCATCAACCATCGAGGTGTGCGAGGGGATGTAAAAACTTTTAATGCCTTCCAGGCGGCCCCCGATCTCGACCCGCCAGTGGGCCCGCGCCGACGAGGCGCCAGCCGCGCCTGCGAGTTTTCGACGGCAGCCGACCGCGGCCGCACAGTCCACATAAGAGGGAAACATTCGGAGCCAGGACCACCCTACGAGACAGCATCAACACCGCAAAATCTTCCCCGCCCATTGCCAGCTGTTGTGGCGTTTCAAAAGAAGGCACGACACCGAACAGCGCAGCGAGGGTTCGACCTTGGCTGTCGAGCACCACAATCGCCCATCCCGCGGTCCTGAATGCTGGAAGCACCCCTTCAAATCCCGAGCCACCCGTGAAAACATGGGCCCCCTCCGGGCCAAAGAAGGGCCCGTCCTGGGGCGACTGCCAGCGTCGGTCGGGCGCACGGGCCCAACGGGGTCTCGGGGAGGGGACCTGGCCCAGGACGCGGGGCGGGGGAACAAACATAGGCCACAAAATCCCCCCACTGAGGTCGGAAGGTTTCCAGCTCGTCGAGCAGCCTTCGCAGCGATAGGACCCGGGTTCTCGCGGCGCCAGGGGGCGAAAGCCACGCGCTGAAACCTGGGGTGGTGCAGAGTGAATTTGCCGTCTCTGCGCAGCTGGCGCTGGTCGGGGGCCTCGGGGCTGTGCCCACGTACTCTGTGTTGGCACCAGTGCGCATTCGCCGCGAGCGCCGACAATGCCGCCTTGTGAGATTTAGTCCAAGCCTCCGAGCTGTTGCGCCCGACGAGCTGGTGAATGGCTGCCAGAAAACGGGGCCACTCCACTTGCAGAAATCGAATTGTTTCAGCTGCTCTCCCCGCTCAGTGGCCCGAACGACCGAGCCGCGCAAAAGAGGCATGCAGAACTTGGGCGGGAATCGATCAGTCGACCACTCTCTATTGAGGTCGTCTACCAGGGCCCTCTGCGAAACGTCGAACGCCCAGCGGACCCGAGAAAGCAGCAGGGAAAGCGCGGCAACAGGCTGGCGGACATGGCCCCAGGGGGCCCTGCTCCCCTGGACCGCCAGGGCGCCCTGAACACAGGACTCTAAAACTTGTTTCGTAACCGAGCGGGCCCACCGGACACTGACGAATTCCTGCGCAGCCGAAACCACCGTCACCAGAAACGGGCCCCTGGGCCAGAGGCGAGAGGCCGAGAGACACCTGAAGCCCAGGGAAGTACCTGGGAAGAGGGGGCCCCGGGGACCCAGGATCCCACCGCTTGGACCCGAAGCTTGTGGAGGGTGAACGGCGGAACCCCCAAAATATGGGATCCCCACGTGGCCTTAGCGAGAGCTCCTGCGCGATAGACACGACTATGTTTTTTCACTCTGCCCCAGCTGTCGCAGAGCCACTCCAGTGCTGCGAGCGGCCGCAATTCGCGACGCCTGCGCGCCAACTCGTCGAGCTCTGCCACCGAGTCGCCGGCGAGGTCGCGGCGGGCGATGACCAGCTTGTCGTCTGAAAGCATCCACCTGGGATCCTGTGACAACTCAGGTAGCTGGCTGTGATCAGATATCATGATCTTGGCCTTGCCCCAGTTAGTTGGCAACTTCCTCGACTCCAACTC